TTTAGTATCACAGTGGACACATTGCATTTCTATTTACTCAGCGTGTTACGGTCAAGTGCAGTCATTCCTTTTGCTACTCAGATCTCCTCACATTTGCTCACCGGGAGGTGCTTCGAGTGGACTCCCAGATCCCTTGATCATAGTTTTCGAGTTGCTTTCTTGCCTTTTGATACAAAGTCCCAGGTCTACCTTGTACTTTCCCTGCCCCAGAAGTACAATCATCCATTTCTTAAGAAGCCTCCTTTTCTTTTAATACGCAATGGTATTTCAAACCGAGAGGACAGTGGTAGACATGGTCAGAGTTACCGGGCTGACGCTGCTTTCGGCTCTTTCGGTAAACAGAGCTAGAAAATGCATTTTAAGAAATCACAAGGTCATACGTATTGGTATTTCCAACTCAAGTTTAATATTGTAGGAGTTTCTCTTAACTTCTTTTACTTTAGGTTTGTATTTCTTATCCATGTACATTAGAAACCTTTCATAAAACATGAAGACATTTTCTTTGTTGCTTTATCCTATGATACATAATTTTAAAATTACAGTAACAATATTATAACTAACATTAACCACAGTGTGTCGTGAAGGTTAAGATTTCTTTGTAGATCTTTTGTCCTCAGAATTTAACCTACTAAGGGTATACAGTCGGAGTAACTTAAAATATTTATTCAAAGTATTCAAAAGTAACTTGAAGTAATTATTTTCCGTGAGAGGCTATGCTATGTATTTGACAGACAGTTTCATTTACTTCTGTTTGTGTTCCATTTTAGGTTTTGTTAGGGGAATTTGCCGAGGGGGAGACGTGTGTGGCTTGTTGAGAGTTAAAAGCAGGCTTATTGAAAACCACCTGGGTGCAGGTGGGGTGAGGCTCAGCGGGCAGTCACCACCCCAAGGAGGTAGAGGCTGGTTTTTATAGGGCTTAGTTGGATGGGGGGGGGAGTGGGGTAAAAGGTTCAATCTTGTTTGTTCTTTCCGCGCTCTGTCTGTCGTTCCTGGAGCAGGTGTTCTCATCGGTCATTTGTGGTTTGGCGGGGACTTGCGGTCACTTTGTGGTTTGTCGGTTGCCAAGTTCCTGCTTCTGTGACTGCTCTACCGAGACGGGAGTTTTGGACTCGGGTTGCCAGGAACCTCATAGATTTTGCTTTCTGTTTCTTTACTTTTGAATATGTGAAACATTTACATGGCTCAGAGGTCAAAACCATTACACAAAGTTAAACTCAGAGATCTTGTCCAATCCCTGTCTCTTTTTTTCCTGTCTCTGTTACTGGTGAGATGACGAGAGCCTCGGACCTTGTCTTCCTAAAGGAAAGATTTCAATCAAGAGACAAAGTGTAGAAGAGCAAGCAGGAATTTGTTGAATGCAGCACAAACACACTTAGGACAGTGAAACGGAAGCAACAGCAGAACCTAGACTACGCTGCTTGGCTCTGGGAAGCCGGGTTCCGGGTGTCAGCCTGGGACGAGCTCCGCTGCCCACGGCTCCCCTGGGTTCAGGTCTCCTGGAGACCCTTGGAGTTTAGGAGATACAGCCTGTGGGGGAAGGAGAGAGGAAGGGAAGGGCATGGGCGTGCTCCCTGGAGGGAGATCTTGCCGGGACCTTCATTTTCAGGGGTTTTAAAGGATGGGCTTTTAGGGGAGGTCTTAGGGGATGATCAATAGAATTTTCCTCAGCTTGATGCTGATGAACTAAAATGAGATTTATTCTGTTAATTTGTCTTTCCTTGGGTGTGGCTGGCAAACGGCACTAATTGGATTTCTGTTATCTGTCTCCCTGAGTAGGGTGATTTAAGCTATTTCCCCTCTGGTTGGGGAGGAGAAGTGCAAACCATTTACTCCTCAGTGTCCTGGGTTTAGGGAAAACAGGATTTACTAAGTGGTTGCAAACTGCAGTTTATCTGTCTCAGGTTCCCTATTCCACTTGTCTTGGAATTTTCCTAGCTTCTTACTATCTTATAACATTTCCACCCTATCTGTAGGTAACTATTTTTATTAATTTCTGGTTTGTCTTTCCAGTATTTCCCTCCACACCCAGAAATAAGACTAACACACATATAAATAAAACTATATGCATTGTTTAAAATTTATTTTTATGGTTGAAAGTATGTTACAGATGTCTCCCTTTTCCCTCCATTGATCCCCTTCACCCTGCACCTGCACTCCCCCATTCTTTTTTTTTTTTTAATTGCTGAAGAATTAAAAAAATCTAGTGTGGATGTGTTCTAGTTTATCAATAAGCCTCTTACTGATGCACATTTCTACTGTTCCCAATCATTTGCTACTACAAAAATTACACAGTGAATAACCTTATGTCTATGTTGTTTTGAGTTTGTGGAAATGTAGCTTCAGGGTAGATCCGGGAATCTCATTTTTAGAAACATCCAAAGTGATTCTGATGCACAGCCAGGTTTGAGTACTGTTGCTTACTGTGCATGGTGAAAATGGTATCGAAAAACCTAGAATTGTTAACATTTTTAAAAAAATGAGGGATGGGGGAAAATGAGGAAACAACAGGTAAAGAAGCAAGGTTCTCACCATCCTGAATCCACACCTACACTGTTTAGCAGAATGCAACTGAGTTATATGAACAGAAGATTAGCTTCTGGAGTCCTGTTCCCAAACCACAGGACAATAAGGATATCCTGTGTATATACCCAGAAGTGACCAGATTCGGGCAGTGAACAACTTCCAGTTTGGATGTGTTGAGTCTCAAGTAGCCAGGGGGCATCCAGTAGTGGCATCTAATATGCAGTTGTTCGCACAGGTTTGGAGATCAGGAGTGTTAGTTGTAAACAAAAGTAGGTATTCTGTGACCAAAAAGGGTTCATTCGGGAGAAAGCAAGGATTACATCCAGTTTGTGCAGACACGGTGAGCCAAAAGCATGGACAAGATCAAGCAGCAGCAGGAAGCCCCCTTTTACAGAGGGGAAGAGCAAGTCAAGGGGAGGGGCAGTTACAGCCATAGAGCTCTGGTTGTAAACGTCGAGATCTTACTGTAGGGCTTTAGTGACTGACGTATGTGTGAGGGCTCCTACCGCAGGCCCTCCCCCGACTTCTGTCTAGGTGAAGGCCTCTCATAAATTTTGACAGGAGTCATTAGCATGTAGATGACACACTAGGTGGAAGATGACCGAAGGAAGGATTAGAGTGAGAAGGTGCTTAGGCTGGAACCCTGGGAGGTACCGGTACTTAAGAGGCCAGCAGAGGAGCCCCAAGGAAAGTACACATGGCCAGAGAGGCAGGAGGAAGGCCTGAGAAGACAAATCGAAAAAGTTCAGGGAGCTGAGTGCTACACGAAGAAAACAGCTACTGTGTCAAATACTGTTGAGAGGTGAGGTAAGACAAAAAAATCCATTGGATTTAGCAACAAAGAGATCAGCAGTGTGACTTTTGACAGAGCAGATTCAATGTTGTAATGGAAACAGTAGCCACTGAGAGTGTTAAAGAAAGAAGTCATCTCATATAGATGATTCTTGGATACACTGGTGTTTGGTCAGCTGCAGCAGAGAATTTTTCTTCTTAGAGCAACAAGAGTGGCCATTTGTACCCAAAGGGGTTAGGGGAATCAATTTTAGTATTTTCTCTTATAAAGTTTTCTTAAACCTTTGGTGCTAGCATAAGATGCTTTTGGATTTAGCAGACAGTGTATGCTTAGTTATTTTAGGTGTATTATTAATAAAGTAATTTTTTAATAAAGTATCAAAATAGTAATGTAGTACTGTATTTGATGGTGCTCCTCAAGGAGCACCATGATTTTCAAATAGTATCCCCATCAAGGATGAGAGTCACGGGGGCACCAGAACTTTTTAAGCCACTGTCCATTCTCTTCTACTTCACGTCCCCACCCCCGGCTGTACCCTGGGCTAAGAGCAGATGCCTTTTTTGCCCTACTGTGAATAGGTAGCAGCTTAAAGAAATTTGGGAGACCAGGGGGTACGCACCAAGAAAAAGGCGAAAAGGACTTTGAATGTCACCTAGTCTAGTGGTTTCTAAACCTGGTTGAGCATAAAAATAAACAATCTGGGACTTGCCTTCAAAGAACCCTGGGTCCCCGCGCTGGATCCAGATACAGTGGGCGGTAGAAGGACTAGATGCCTGTACCTTGAATGAGTGCCTTTGATGATAGAAAGTCAACTCCTTGAGGAAACGACTAGCCAGAAGGGTCTCAAGGGTTGGGGATTCTCTGTTCGGTGCTTTGGCCGCACCGCAGGGCATCTGGATTTTCGTTTTGGGGGTACTGGGAAGGGCTTGCTTTTCTGGGCGCTCTCTCTACACGTGGACTTCCCTCGTGAGTCTCTCTCCGCAGGAGACGTGGGCTAGCGGTTCAGCAGGTGCCCACGTGCCGCTGCCCAGCGGGCTGATTTGGTGCATGAACCCGGTGGATCCTCAAGTTTGGGGACCCTGCGCAGCCGGAGAGCGCCG